TAATAATAAATAAATAAAATTAATTGAAATACTACTGAAAAAAAAAAAACTAACAGTAACCAAAAATATAACTATACCAAATATGCACTATATATTATTATTAGTTTTCAGAATATTACAAATTAGGCAATAAATAGTGGTACATGAAAACCGAATGTAGTTGCTCTTAAGATAACAGTAGCAACGTTGAAAATCAAATAACTCCATTTTAAGTAGGTTTTAGCTGAAGAACAACTAAACTAAGTTCACAGCTTCAAATGAGTAAATATATTTACAAACTTAATTTAATGTGAATATTCCATAATCTACGACTAAATGCTTACAGCAAATTTATATGTACAAAATGATTAAAAAGAAAATAAATATAAAAAAAGAAAAATACAGTAGTCAACTTCATATTATTTTTATACAATATTTAAAATTATTTTGTGCATTTACAACAAGAGAAATAGAAATATTTATTCATAAAAATAGATTATTAAAAATGTTTATTAAATAAATTTATAAATTAAAAGCCCAGTTTCTATGCATATGTATATTTTAACCATTCAATATTAAGTTTTCGTATTCAAAATTGAATTCAGAATTTGTTTTACAAAGCAACCGTTGCACGTTCAACGTTTTCGTCCGACAGCAGGCGTTGCTCGCTTATTCAGTCCACAGCTGTGAGGGCTAACACAAATGACTGGAAACAATCAACAAACATAGACATAAACAACATAAAGCACATTAAAAAAAAAATTCATTTTACTAACCCCCAATCCTTCAGCTCTTCCACAGAACACATTGTCGTTATTGAAGCATGGCTTTCGTAGCGCGTCGCAATACCGAGGGTCAATTGGTGGATTGTCAGGTGATTTCTGGTCGCGGGACTAGCACCATGGCCATGTCCGATCTGAGTGACGAGGACACCGATTCGGGCACAGTGCAGGGCTATAGCAATCGCTCCTATATCTCGCCCACTGTGCGCTATGTGACATCCAAGGATGACGACGATGATCTCGACAGCTGTTTCACCTTTGATGGCATTCGTGGCCGTAATAGTGCCAACAATGTGGAGAACGACCTCGAATCGGTGGTCTCATTCGAGGGTCACTTCGATGACTCCGCCAAGGCCAATCCCGCTGAGGCGGAGAGTGATACTGGCACTCTGAGTGATTATCGCCTGGACATGGCCAGCGATGAGGAGACGGTCAAGTGCGGTCCATCTCCGACTGCTGATGCAGCTGCTCAACAGGAGGACAATTGCAAGGCTGACGATCTCGATTCACTTGATGGCGAGACCGTTTGCAGTCCAAATGCATTCGGTCAGGAGCGTCTAGATGCACTGAGCCTGGGCTCCTTGGAGAGCCTTGGGCTGCAGCCAGAGGATGATATCCAAAGTCTTTGCTCCATCGAGAGCAGCACGCTTGGCCGCGCCACGGTCTGCCCGCCGGTCGCCCAGGAGGACTCTTTCAGCCTGGGCTCGTTGGACAGTAATTCCGTTTATCGCCTCATGGAGAGCCGCAACTCGCCGGACAACGATAATACCGATAACCAGAGCCAGGTGACCAGTCGCACCTTCAATATGAAATCGTCGGCAGTGCGCCGCAGCGATTGCTCCTCGGTATCCAGCTGCAGTTGGACCGACATGTATGGCGGGGCGCTGAAGCAGTCGGAGAGTCGCAGCAATATAATACCATCGCTTAGTCTGAACTTGTCGACTGCGTCGTCGTCCGGCTCGTCCACATACTTTCGCAATCTGGATGAGGATAAGGAGCGTCATGGCCAGGAAGCCTATCAGGAGTGGGTGAAGCGCAAGGAACGCCAGAAGCAGGAGAAGCAGCAGGCGGCCAAACAGGAGCGCGAGCGGCGCGACGCTGAGACTGCACTGCGTCAGCGCCTGGCCAAGGAGCGCTATCAGGAGTGGGTGCGCCAGAAGGAGCTGCAGCAGAAGAAGGCCGCCACGGGTAGCATTAAGAGCGCCGCCAGCTACGGCAGCTACTCGAGCACCTCGAGTTTCGCTGGCCTCGCCTCCGGCAGCGGCGCCAATAATCGGGCGCAACGCAAGGAGACCCCAGAGGCGGCCAAGAAACGTCTGGCCGAGTGGGATCGCATCAAGACCCAGCAGCAGCAGCGCGATCGCGAGCGTGAGCGCCAGAAGCAGCAGAGCAAGGAGCAGCTGGAGAAGCAGCGCAAGCAGAAATCCGAGGGTGCCTGGCAGAACTGGATGAAGTCGGTGAGCAAGCGACCCAAGCCGGTGCCACTCAATCAGGGCTTCGATACACTGCGCGGCACCATATCGAATATATATGTGAATCCCGTGCAGTGGGTCTCCAATATCGATCCCAATGACTCTCGCGGCAATTGAGCCCCATTGCTCAATGCGCGAGCCATAGTCGTTTTCATCGGCATTTCAAGAAATCCCCCCCAAAAAAAGTACAAAAAACTGATCGCATCTTGAATAGATCCAACCATCTGCCAATCAAAACAACAAACTCATATTTGCCATTTCCTTGGTGATGTTGGACCCAGCGCAGAGAGAAAAACATAAAAAAAGAAAATATTGAAAATAAGCGTGTCTGTATATATATATATATATGTGTGTGTGTCTATATGCATATATGTATATTTGTTTACTGCTATATTGGATGGCTTACTACAATTTGAGCGCCGATGTTTCAATAAACCGTCAGTTGCAAACACAAAAAATGTTTGTGTTTCTCTAATGGGAGGGAGTTGAATAATTGGTTTACTACAAATTTTATTCAGGGTTAATAGGGGCACGGTAGATAAATATTCTTCTTCATCTTTTACTATGCTCTCTAAAGCTAAAAAGTGTAGTATATATTTAGAAAATTTCTTTGCAGGTTAGGCTGCTTAAATGTAGTTGCCAACTCATCTGTAAATAATGTAAATACATATGTCATAAAGTAAAAGAGATAAAAATTAAAGAAAATAAATATTGCAGCTAAGGCTTTTGTTTCATATGTATATTGATTTTATATACAGTGGAATTCGAAATGACAAAGGGATCAGTTTTTTTCTATTTATACAAATTCAAATTATTGAGAACGAATTTATTTCAAGGGGATCGAATTTTTTCGATTTATCGCGATTTTCGATATACTCGACTTGACTGTATGTGACAAAATAATATACTATGATATTATATTATATTTTAAGCTCATCGCTATCGGTATATTCAGCAAACACAACTCACGCATACATACCAACACATACAAAAGAATTCTTACTCCATCAGCAGTTTTGTCCGATCGCGAACGAGCTCTTTGAGGGCCCGATGCGATCGGTTGCTCTCCTTGTTTGTCTCAGTGTAAGTGAGACACATATTTGCGATCTGTATTTATTTTACATGATTCTTTAACTTTCTTTTTCTCTTATTATGAATATAAAATGCACATCATTATACATAAATAAATAATT